ATCCCTTTCCCTTGCATCAATACAATGAGTCAGAAACAAAACTCCAGAGAAGAAAATAGTGAGGGACACATTTAAAGATCAAAGCATGGACCTCCAAAAAGGCGGAGAAAGGAAGGCCAGAAAAGGCGAAGGGTGTCTTGGAAGCTGAGAGAACAGGTTTTAGGCAGAGTGCCTGGTCAACAGGATCAGAAACAGCAAAGGGGCCAGTGGGACGTAGCTGAAACCCCTACAAGTACAGCGCCTGGGAGGGTGTGGGAGTCTTTTCCAGAACACATCTGGAGAGTGAATAGATCAGAGTCAACTGCAGTGGGAGAAAGAGAACGAAAAGGAAGAAAGTCAATAAAGCCAGCTTAGACTAACTATGCTTTGGAGAGCTTGGTAGAGAAAAGTGGGTAAAAAAAAAAACTAGGGACTAGAGGTTAACTGGAAGTTGAAGGCCAGTAAGATCAAGGGATGGAAGAATTTCACACATTGTCCTATCCTGTCCTAATGTGTACATCTACCATACCGGATGACGTTTATTTAAAATACCAAGTTATCACAAATATTCCTGGTATTCAGTTTCTTTCACTGATCTTTTGATTCCTATGCTCTCTATTCCTGTCCTAGCTTAGAATCACACAAACACACATGCACACACACATGCACGCACACACATTCCCAGGCACACACGTGCACACAGAGACAACTATGTGAATAACCAACAAGATCCCGTGGGAAAAACAGTTGCTTGGCCCGGCCTTAGATCACAGATCATTGAGCATTATACCCAAGACTGCAGGAGAGAAGAGGAGCTGGACCTGAAAAACTTGGAAGGAAACGTCCGACTGTGCAGGTTATTTCTTCAGACACAAGATTTCAGTGTAAAATTCCAGAAAAGATGAGCGACGCTTTATAAGGAGAGAAAATCAACAGTATTTCTAATTTTATTTCTTGTTAAGGTGACAGCAGGTAATTGTGAGAACAAATGAGATTGGCAAGCCCCACCCTCAGCAAGGAGGGGAAGGCAACAGAGAGCAGTGAGTGGCTGAGGCTCCCTCAGGAACAGGACGGGGGGACAGGATGGGGACAGGATGGTGATGCTGGGCCATCTTCCTGGGTTTTACCTCCTGAGGAAAGCACAGGCGTCCAGGAGCGCTGTGGGACACAACAGAGCAGGAGATTCAAACACTGATTTCTTTTTTTTTTTTAAACCAACAAATTGATGTTTAAATCGATAAATAAATGAAGGAGGATACTAAGAGTTTTCCCTGCCCTTCCCCCCACCACCGTGAGTACTTGTCACACTCACATTTTCCCCGACTCCCTAGTCCTAGCAACTGCAGTGTCCCAGGGAGCTCAGGCACGTCTGGTCCTCACCAGCCAGGGCACTTCCTGCTCTGGCCTGAGTGACACAACCACCCCACCCCACTTGTCTCTTATTGAATCAAATGTCACGCTCTCAGGTTAACAAGACACTGGTAGTCCTCTAACTTCTTCTGGAATGTGGGTAATTAATATATCTTCGTGCAAATCTGTTCATATACTCATTCACTCATTCGTTTACAAATGCTTGCTGAGTGCCTGCACTGTGAGAGTCACTGTGCTAAGTGTGCTGGGACACAGCATGGACAGACAGGCCCTGCCCACAAGGGGCGTATAGTCTATGCAGTCCTAAGCTGGCTGCTCACAAGAGTAGTCCTATAGCCCTATTTCTCAAAGTGTGATCCTTGCCTGTACTGCAGTGACCTGAGATGTTGGTCAATACAAAACAGGGATTCCTTTTTTTTTCTTTTTTTTTGGTCTTTTTGTGAGATTGGCCATACCGTGCTTAGCCAGTGAGTGCCCCGGCCATCCCTATATAGGATCCGAACCCATGGTGGGAGCGCTGCTGCGCTCCCAGTGCCGCACTCTCCCGAGTGTGCCACGGGCTCAGCCCACAAAACAGGGATTCTCAACCTTGGCATTATTGACACTTGGGGCCTGATAACTCTGTTGTGGGGGGCTGTCCTGTGCATTGTTAGCAGCATCCCTGGCCTCTACCCACTTGACACCAGCAGCACCCCCTAAGTTTTGAAAATCAAAAATGCTTCCAGGTATTGCCAAATGTCTCCTGTGGGTAGTGGAGACACACCGACCCAAATGTCCCTAGTTGATAAACACTGATAAAGAGATTCCTGGCTCTACCCCCATTTCTGGACCAATAGCACCCCCAATGCCTCTGAATCTCTGGGGGAGGGATCAGGAGCAGGAATCTGGATGATCACAGCGCACAGTGGAGTCGGTACAGGCTGAAATTTGAGAATCATCACCAGGGGCCTTACAACCCTCTGCAATAGCTTGTAAATATTTTTAAACAATTAAATTATAATTAATACATTTTCATAGCTAAAAAGTTTTCCTACATTTGAATTTTTTGAGAATTTATACTCTCTATGGTTGGTATCTATGGTAACTGTCAAGAAACCAGATTTTGTTATTTCTCAATGCATATGTATATATACACATTTCATTTTACCAAACAAAATGGATTATCTGTTTCCAAAATTTTCATGATAGTAACTATTGGCATTATTAAAATGCAGCATATTACATACTGCTTTATTTTATTCTCTAATTCTTTTGCTTTATCAATGAGATTGCCATTTCCTGAAGTATAGAGATATTATAATACCTCAACATCGTTACACCCATCTTCATTCCTAGAACGCTGTTTGGCCCTCAAACCTTGACCTTCCCCCATGGTGACTTCTAAGGCCCACTTACGGGAGGTTGAGCACCGTCTCAGATTAGCAACAGCCGTGACATACTGTGGCCCCAAATATTTTTCATATGTCGTTTTTCCATGGAGTCTGGCCAGACACTCAGTGTTGTCATTGAACAGAAGGTTTTTGGTTTCAGACTGGAACAAGCAAAACTTCCCTGGGCAGTCAGGTCCATTTCTTCCAAACAGGGCCTGTGCCAAAAGGGCAGACGGTAAGTGAATAGCAAGGAAAACACAGAGTTTATGGATTAAGAGAGTCCAGTGGTGTTTCTTCCATCCAGGACCAGTTCTGGGAAAACCATGGGGCAAAAGGAGCTGAGTTCTGGAACGTTCCACCTCCTTGGCTGACTCTTCTCCTGTCCACCCTCCTGGGGACAGTCCCACCCTGAGCTCCACACCATTTCTAATCTCATTTCCTGCCATCTTTCCTTCCTTCTAAATCTGTGACCTCTTGCCATAGAACTCATGGGTGACTAGGGGACAGCTGAGAATTTTTGAGATCTGCCCCCAAAAGTTGACCACCTAGAACATTCTAAAATGCCAGCTCTCTCAGACGGGCAGCCTGAGTAGGAAAACCCAGTGGCTATCCCAGGCAGGTGCCTCCGCCTCTCTCAGCCACAGCTCCTCGTCCATACCCGGGCTCCCGTGTGGTGGGCTGTGAAGGCCAACACCTCGATGATGGCAGATTTCTTACCAGCACCAGTGAGCATGCCATAGTAAGGGCTCAACAAGTGCCAGTTACTGTGGCTGTTATTATTATTCCAGGGCCATTGTCTTCAAAAACACACCTAGAAACGTGATTTTGTAATGTAAAAATAGAAGTTCTAATAGAGAATCCCAGATTTTAATGAAATTTTAGGATTTCCTTCTAATCACTTTCACATAGACAGCCCTAATCTATGGGACAAGTTCTGAGTCTGTGGTTTCAGAGGCCTTATTATTCAGTCAGCCCAGGCTCAGGAAACATCACCAGAATAAAGCACTCTCTACCGAGGCATTGTGGGAGGAAGGCTCCATCACTTCCCACACTTGCCTGGAGGATAACAGGAGGGAAAAGGACAGTAACCAAGCCAGGCAGTGAACACAACAAGCCCAGAGGTACAGAGACTCAGGGCAGAAGTTAAGTCAATCCCTGAAAGCTCAGAGTTGGAAGCCTCTGTGTTGTTCTGTTGAGACTCTGGGCAGCACCACAGCATGAAGCTAATACTGTCACCACCAACTTCAAGCAGAGGGACTAGAAAGAAAGGATGAGTGGGCTGATTCATCAAGCTCTGTGATTTCCCCATCACAGGAGCTTGCGCAGTTAAGAAAGAGCTGGAGGCACTGACAGTCCATACCTGTTGTTGGAGCAGCACCTGTTCAAGGCGTTCTACCTTATCTTGCCGAGATACCACAGCATGATTTGGGGCCACAGCCAGGTGGCAGCTCCGAGCCTCAGTCACAGGCTTCCGAGTGCCATCGAGGCACAGAAGCTCAAAGTCCTTTAGTTTCAAATCCCTAGCCCACGGTTCAGTGTTCTTTCCTGGGGAGAGAAAGAAGTTGGCATCAGCCACTCTCCCCTGCTTAGACAAGGGGTCTGTTCTGGGTGGGTGTGACCATCCCACTGGCCTCTCAAAATGCACACATGAGGCTGTGCTGATGTAACGGAGAGAGAATGAAGCTTTGTCCTGCATAATCCATACATACTTCAAATACATCAAGCATTAGTGCTGTGTCTACACAAGGGAATATTATTCATCAATAAAAGGGCTGAAGTTCTGACACATGGTGCAACATGAATGAACTTCGAAAACATGATGCTAAGTCAAAGAATCCAGACAGAAAAGACCACATATTATATGATTCCATTTACGTGAAATGTCCAGAACAGACAAATCCACAGAGACAAAGTGGATTGATAGCTGCCAGCGCTGAAGGAGTGGGGAGGGATTCTTTACGAGGTGATGTGAGTGTTCTAGAGCTGGGCTGTGCTTGTGGTTGCACGACTCTGTGAATCTGCTGGAGACCACTGAATTGTACACTCTGAATGGGTGGATCTTATAGAATGTCAATTGTATCTCAATAAATCTGTTAAAAGTTCTTTTTTAATTTTTTAAAAAATTTGATAGTGTATTTAAAGGAAAAATATACCATGGTCAAGACAGTCAACACAGTTTTAACCCAGGAAAGCAAAGATGGTTTTACTATTAGAAAATATAAAAATACTTATATTTAATAGATAAAGGGAGAAAAGCCATATGATTATGTTTATAGATGCAGAGAATACATTTGTTAAAATTCAAAACCCTTCACCTATGCCATATTTTCCAGTGAGTTCCCAAAAAAAGGATAGCTGGTTTATGTTCCAGGAGAAATTGTTTTCTCCTTCCTCTCATATTCAAATGCTCCTAGTAAACACAGAAAGGACAGGAACTTCTATGGGTTTATTAAATATGTTTAGTCAATTCCAGTAAAATAGAGCTGTAAAGTACCAGAGAACGTTAAGATTAAATGCGACATCAGTCTGATCCCTGGAGGTCACTTTGGTTGAACAGTTCATAAATTCTAACTGTAATCACTGCACGTCTACGTGTGTTCATGCCCCTGCTTGTCTCTTTTTGCCCTCTCTCCTTAAGAAAACACGTCATTCATTCTCTTGTCTTCCTCTACTTGATATAGAGGTAATTCCAAATTTACATGTCTGGCCTTAATCCCTCTCCTGAGAGACGTGGGGAGGGGCAGGAAGAGAAGGCAGAAGTGACTGTGACTGGAGGAGGGGGGCAGAAAGTTGAGGCAGTTCTTTCTGAGGGGACAAAACAGCAAGTCATCTGCTGAGCCGGGGGTGGGGATGCGGAATGGTGCCTGAGGGGAGAGAGGTGGTTTGGAAGGTAGCAAATGGCTGAGGAGCCTTGAATTCAGTAACTATTTTTTTCATCTAGAGATCAGAAAAGAGAGTGATTGTTCAAACACTGTCTGGTAGATTGTCTTCCATCATCTGCATCTACTGTGGTTTTGTCCCCACTAACTCCCAAGGAGTTTCCAGACCAAGGGCTCACATGAGACTGAATGAAGGCCTCTACTTCCCTTTTTAAAAAGGGGAACTTTCTTTTTTATTATGGATCACGGTCATTATTATTGTTATTACATTACTATTTTTATTAAACCTCCCGCTACTGATGCATGGGAGAAGGCAAAATAAAAATAAAAATAATAATAATAATAAATAAATAAATAAATAAAAAGGGAAACTTTCTTCGCATATTGTTTTTTAGTATCATCCACACTCAGTTTCCTATAGGCATGCATGATCTGGTGCAGGCAGACGGTGTATTTCTGTAGTTGACAAGTCAAATCCAGTGAGACATTTGCTGCTGTGTGTGGCTGGAAGGTGTGTGTGTGTGTGTGTGTGTG